GAGGCAAGAATCATCCACAAACTCCTCAACTGAAGGAGCTTGATAGCTACTTGGCATGCCCAGGGGATGAAATGGAGCTACTGAGGTGTTTCCCAACATTATGTGACTTATCTCTCAAGCTGAACACCCCACTACCTGCATCTGCTGCTTGTGAGTGTCTGTTTAGTCGTGCTGGGCTTATTATTTATTATTTAATTAATTTATTACACCCCAGGGGGCAACAACCCTAGTCACAAGACCATGTGGTCAAACAATGATACACTGATACTCGTGTCTCGCAGGAAACACTATGACTTGTGATATGGAGACAATATTGTTTGATTCAGGACAATGGGAGTTAGCACCCACCAAAGCGTGGGTAGATTACAAGAATTAAATCTAAATTAATACGTATAGGTAGGTGGTGACCTATAGTGGTTAGTGACTCTCCCTGAGGTAGGAAGTTCCTGACGGTGGGACAGTCAAGGCAATACAGTAGTGATGAAGGGTGTTAGTGTTGGGACAGTTACAAAGTTACAGGAAGAGAAGTGCAGGTCATCACCTGCCTCAGATACTTACCAGACAGGTTGTATCCTAACCTAATGTGAGGAGAGACAACATTTTGTCTGCGAACCATAAGTGCATGTTGATGATACTTATGTGGATAAGGAAGAAAGTAATCATAGTGTTGGTTGGATATATTTTCAGTCCATTCACCATCCCTGTGATGGATTGTAGGGAGAAGAGCGGCTGAACGTATTCTCTTTCAGTAGGTCATGCTGTGCTTATATTTTGGCCTAAAAGATCCTGATTGGGCAGCCATAAATTTGAGACTCAGTTATTTATTGATCTCAATAGAATGATTTGCAAATAAATATGTGTAATGCTATGTCTTAATTTTATCTTTAGTTCAATCGTTTTTTATAATTTACTGTGGATATATTTTTTTTATATTTGAGACAAATAATAATTTTGTTGTTACTTTTTACTTTCAGTACTTGAGTACTTTGAATGAGATACTTTTTTACTTCTACTAGAGTACATTGATCTTTGGATACTTTTACTTCTACTGAGTAACATTTTGCCAATGTAACAATACTTTTATTTCAGTAACAAAGTTCAGTACTTTTTATAACTCTGTGTGGTTGTCAGAAGGCAGGTCCAAGAAATGCAAATGTTCAAAGTCAGAATTTAAGTGCACAGGCCTGTGTACTTGTGATAAATTGCTACAATGAAGTTATTGTTACTGGATGAATGTACATATTTGTCTAGAGCAGGGGTTCTCAACCAGGGGTTTTCAGGGGGGAACTGATACTAATATGGAAATAATAAAGGATTTTCAGTATTATATGCATATTATTTGGAATGCACTTTTTGAGGCAGACAATCTTGGAAAGGAGGAGGGAATGACATTCTGACATATGGTGAAAGGGGTGCATGGGGCAAACAAGGTTGAGAACCACTGGCCTAGAGTCTAACAACCTTACGATGTCACATTTGTTTACTGCTTTAGCAAATTAATAAAGGCTGTAATACATATATATTTAAATTTTATGTAATTTGAATTAGACATATTGATCAGAATACAAGGTCATATTAAATACAGTCAAATTCTTCCTACCTGAGCAAGCATACACAGTAGCTGTTGATTTTCTTAAAGAGTTTAATAAAATTTTAATTTTTAAGTCAGACACAGATTCCTTGACCCCAAAAACTTGATCATGGGCACCAAAATCACTGTCATACCTAATCTAGGGAGGGAGATATGGCCACTTCAGTAGGTGACACCAGTGGTCATTATGGATTTTCTGGGCTGTTCTCCAAATAAGGAATTTCCTGGCTTGCCTCCATATCAGAAGTTGTTCTATACATAAAACTCTACCACTGTCAAATTTCATGCTTCTATAAAAAAGTAAATGAAATGCCCAATATTTTTACCTTAACTGCTAGAGTATAAGCATGTTATGATAATCAGAAAGTGACACACTGGCAACCCCCACGATACAGAATCATGGGTTTGGAGATTTGCCCTCACAGAATTTTAAAATTATGAACCAAAAATTAACGATACGGAAGAAAATCGCCCTTACAGAGTTTTGGTAAATTTTATAAATTTTAAAACATAAAAATCACCATACGGTGTATAACATAGAAATTCACCAAAATTATAAAATTTATTTTGTGTGGATTCTTGGTAGTAGCTAAAAGATGGTTGCCAGCAGCCACAACAACAATGGCACTCCTCAGTTAGAATTCTATCCCCAGTTTATGTTCAGTTATGACATCTGTGTTACTGTGTACCTTTACTTAAGATGAGTGAAAATAGACCATCAAGTTCAAGTGAAAGCAGTGGTGGTAAAAGATTCCATAAGGAATTGTGCTGGACATTAAACTCAATGTTTTAAGGAGGTAACTCCCAGTAACTTTGATCACACCACCTCACCTCACCACCTCCTGCAGCACTCAACATCGTTTCTGATCAGTTAAATTCAAGTGTGTACATTTATTAGCATGTTACATCATGGATGAATTATTATGTGTGTCTATTTTCATTCATATACTGTATGTGCGTGTTATATTTTTGGACCAAAATTTTTCCTTGGGAACGCATCTCAACTTAGATAATGGGAGTCAATGGGAAAAATGGTTTCACGATACAAAATTTTGCAATGCAGAAAGATTTTCAGGAGCGTAACCCTTCTGTAACCCAAGGTGTGCCTGTGATTTAAGTCAAATTCTAACATCAACAAGAACGACACGATAGGATTACGTACTCACATCAGGATATCACTCAAGTAACCTGTTCAACGGAGGCAACCTGTAGTACAATATAAAAATTAAGTTGTATCCTAAAGCCCCAAATTTTCAAAAGTCAAAGTTTCAGCAAAAATTTACACCTTTCATCTCTCCTTCCAATATTCTTCCATTTCTTTTTTATTCTTATGGAATTTTGTCCACTCTTTTTCACTTCTTGTGTTTAATTGTTCCTCCTCACCTCCGTGATGTTCCTGATACTACACAACCAAACCTGTACAGGCCCGGGGAACCTTTTCCCATGATATATAACCTGAAAAAATGATGGTTCAGTTTTTTGTTTCACTTGCAAACTCTTCCTTGCTATATATCAAGACAGCCAAAGCCAAATAACAAGAATCTATCTTCATTTGCTGTAATTGATGGTTTCTGCTATGGTACATCAAGGTCCGAAGAAACACACGTCAGCTTTTTCCACACCACTTCTCACGTAATAGTACCACTCGTCACCACCTTGTTACCTCATAAAAACCACTAATCCACACACACTCCTCATATTCTGACTGTCTGTCCCCCGAGAGGACCTTCAACCCCATCTTTTCATCCCTATTTTAGTTTTTTTCCTCTCTATCATTAAGTGTCCACCTCTACATTATAAACTACAGTGGTCCCTCAGTAAACGAACGGTTCGATTAACGAAATTTCGGTTAACGAATTACCTCCCATAAGGATCTTAATTCGGTTAACGAACAAAACTTCGATTAACGAAATCCTTACAACAAACACGTTTTGTTGTGAGCATCAGCTGATCAGCTGATGGGCTAGTCTGCCAATTCAGTAATCTGTTCTATGTTTACATTCATTTCCAGTGGAGTAAATATCAAGAAAGTTGTGCTCTTTAATATTTTTGCATTTTTTATATTAAAATTATAAGTTATTTTAAATTTTAGTTAACATATTGAAATTATATACAGTACAGGGAACTAGTTTTTCGTGTGCCCATCAGCCGCTTGACTCACCCACCAGGCGTCAGTTTGGCTTTGTTTACAGTGGAGTGAACATCGATTTTGTTGGTGTCTTGAATATTTTTGCATTTTTATGTTAAAATTATTGGTCATTCTGAAATTAAGTTACCATATTGATAATATCTAGCGCAGTGCAGTGTTTATTTAAATAAAATAATCTTGAATTACACGAAGTGAACTAAAAATTTTATTGGTGAAATTACTGCATCAAGCATGGGTCCCCTGAAAGGTGATTTCTCCTCCATCCCCACTTCCTTCTCTTCTCCCTTCTCCACCCCCACTTCTAATTCCCATCACCATCATCAACCAGGAACCTTCTACATACACACCTCAAAGTAAGTGTACTTTGCATTTTTTTTTACTTTGTATGTACTTTTCTGTGAGCTGGAACCAATTACCCAATATCCCATTGAAACAATGGATTCGGTTAACGAAATTTTCGGTTAACAAACGACTCTGTGGAACGAATTGTGTTCGTTAACCGAGGGACAACTGTATTTTTACCAGTCTTTCACTAGCAAAGACCACGAACAAGACTATTCACAATTTCAGCCTTCAGAGCACACCAGCAGGTTACCCCGGCCCCTTCCCAACATAATTTCAGGGTGGTAAAACTTCCGGCTTGTTAAGTAGGTGGCCAAACTTCATGTGAACACTTGAATGGCATTGTTAGGGGTCTCAACTACATCACTACCACATCTACTAGGGTCCAATATATATATATATATATATATATATATATATATATATATATATATATATATATATATATATATATATATATATATATATATATATGTATGTATGTATGTATGTATGTATGTATGTATGTATGTATGTATATGTATGTATATATGTATGTATGTATGTATGTATGTATGTATGTATGTATGTATGTATGTATGTATGTATGTATATATGTATGTATGTATGTATGTATGTATGTATGTGTATGTATATATATGTATATGTATGTATGTATGTATGTATGTATGTATGTATGTATGTATGTATGTATGTATGTATGTATGTATGTATGTATGTATGTATGTATGTATGTATGTATGTATGTATGTATATATGTATGTATGTATATATATGTATGTATATATATATATATATATATATATATATATATATATATATATATATATATATATATATATATATATATATATATATATATATATAACACCTCAACCTGCCAGGATCTCTCTCTCTCTCTCTCTCTCTCAAACATACCCGAGATTCACAATGATCAATAAACTGCACAGCTTTATCCCACAGGTTCTTCTTGGCACGGCGGTCTCTTGGGCCGATGAGGGAATCTCGAACATGATTTATGGCGACGAAATCTTTCCCAGATGGCCCACCAATGCCTCCCAACACTTCCAAAATTTGTTCTATCAATTCATAAACCTAAAAGATAGAAAGAAAACAATATTTCAGTGAATGGGGATCAATGAAGGGAATAAGGGAGTACAGTACATACGATTTGTGAAAGAGGAAGACATGGGACAGAATTGGGAGGAAGGTGTTGGCAGGTAGAAGCAGTGTGGTGGGGGGACCTTCTACGATATACGAGACAACTTAACTGCAATAAGTGGAAGGATTCAACAGTCCTTTCTACATTACTGATTCCTTATTCAATAATGAATCCTTTTATCAATAATCACAAACACTCTCAATTCTCATAAGTGTTTAGATATTGTTTTATAGCATTTTGAGATAAACGCACTAAAACTGTACAAGGAAAGTGGTAAAAGCTGTAGTTTTAAGAGAATGTCAAGTGTAAGAACTGCTTTTGGTACTAGCATATAAGTATATGAAGTTTTAAACTAAAGAAATTCATTAGGAAGTTATTACACCAAAGACACAGGGAAAGTTAATAAGGAGATTGACTCTTGTGTCTGGCCATATCATTAAACTACTTCTTCTCTGGGATATCAATAATGTTTTACTATTATTTTTCAGGTACAGTATGGCCTTGACTATTTTAATACACACAAACCAAATTATTTATTACACTTAGTGACTTAGTAACATTTCATAAGATAATGTAAACACTAGTAAATACAAGAATGGATCTACAATACCCAGTTCTTATTTCTGGTGGCGTGTGTGTGTGTGAGACTCTTAAAACAGACATCATAAGGTAAACTAAAGGATGGATAATAATTTGGACAGTTTCTGTTTCTTAGTGACATCCTCCTGTAACATGATCCTCTTGTACCCATACAACTCATAATACTGGGACCATGACTCCCCTGCCCTCACTAAAGTCTCAATATATTATGAGATGCACCTTGCTGATATCTCTAATACACTCTGGTGGCCATGGCATAACATATCCTGAAGTCAATCACACAGCAGGAGTATGGTGGACTAGCCAACAGTTGTGGTTCCTAAGGTACAGTCAGCTCCACTTCTGTGTTTACTACCTAGCAATACCAATCCTCTCTCTCCCTGAGGAATGAACCATGAACTCTGAAATGTGAATTCGAAGCATTCGCTAGTGAGCGGAAGGGAGAGAGGATGGCTGTCTTTCTATGGGGGTTACTGGGGGTGAGGGGGGGTGAGAAGGGAAAGTGTACAGTAGATCAGTTGGAAGAGATTACAATACAGAATAATGCTTTGACAATACTGACAGGGTTTCCCTAGATGATTACGTCTAGCTGGTCAGATGAAAATATTAAAGTTTCAATAGGATGAGAGGGGGATGAATTCATGCTCTAACTAAGGTGTTCCTTTGCATTTATGAGCAAATGGATTAGGCATAAAATTGAGTCTGTATCTTGTAGAAGCAGTGAAGTTTTGTTTAACCTCTTCACCACGTTATGGAACTTCCTCAGCTGAATAAAATCATCTGGCAGCAGCCAAAATAAAACAGATAAGAAGACAGTATATACAGAAGGAGTTAATTAGCAATCTAAACAATCAGGAGGTGGCCACCAAATAATTATTGTGATACAAACTTGATGCGGACACAAATATAGTTGAGTTGGCAGCTGTCCAGTGTTAACATGAAACAAAGATGATGATGAAATAAGATGGAAAAACTACAGGTATACAGTACAAGGAAAACCACAGACTTGCAAAGGGATAAACCCAAACCTTAAAATTGTGAAACACCATTATAGATTATGGCGAAAGTTGTCTATAGTTCACTATGGAACTCAAATACCTCCTCTAGAGTTAATGGTGTCCTGCAAATGCCTAGTAAACTCCTGGGCATTGTATGAGTTGCTCAATGTAGCTCAATTCTTAGTCAATCTTGTAAAGAACTCAAAGGATGTTGCACGGGCAAGGATTATCAGAAATCTGAAAGCAGCAAGAACTCCGAGGATGTTACAGCACCTAAACCTAAAAATACTCACCTGTTGTTTTTCCTCTTCAGCCTTGCGTTTGTGATATCGGACACAGTAGAATGCGAGCCAGGCAGTGATGATAACTGTAAGAAACAGAGTAAGATCATACATTCCAATTAGTCAACACATCATCTTAGTTGTAGGTCAAAGGGGTTCCATTCCTAATACGAGTACAGTATAAGCCAACAATCCGTTAGGGATAAGACTCTTCATGACTAGGGCTCATTAGGACCAAATCCCAATCCTAATGGTTAGGTTTGGTACGTTAGGGCCTATTACAACTGGGACTTAATATGACACCATTTACTTAAAACTTCTCAATTATATAAAAATTTAAAAATATTAAATTAACTTTAACCATCTTTCCATTCCACTTATGTCACATATTATTAATGATGTTTTATTTTCAATATGCCAGTTCACACACAACACAAAAATGTTCAAGAGGTCAATGATAAAGTATTACAATAACTGTAGTCACTAGATACTGTTCTTTGTGTACCACTTGCTTTCTGAAAGTCTCCATTGATTTGCAGGATGTTCACACACAAAACTCCAGGTTGATCAAGACAAAATGGATGATGCCACAACATGACCAAACAATAATCATGGGTGACAAAACATTAAATAAATATAATGGCTCACAAAACTAATGGTCCTCATCATCCCTGGGCTGTGTCAACATGTTAGGAACCTCTAAAAAATTTTACATCCATTTCTCACGGTGTAATAAGAAAATAAAAACAAGTCTGAAGTAGAATTCCTCCAGAATAAAGACTAATTTCTTATTCATTACTTATGGGTTCCCATTATCTTTGTCATCAAGTGTATTTTAGCGAGGACTACAGTACTGTACCCAGGTTTATGAAACTTTTCTATCTGCTCAGGTTATTCATATCCACTGTACAGTTCTAGCATTTGTCCATGTTCAAATGGTCATAATATTAACAATCCATCTTCGATAATTTGCGTTAAAGATGCTAATATATTACGACCACACCCCTAATTGGGATGTAAACAAACCCACATAACAATATTCATCACACTGCCAACTTGGAATATGGAACACATCACTCACTTCATCTGACAGCCGAGGTGTCATCTACTCAAACACTGCCTCGTGGCTATCTGGTGAACTACAGTCCAGCCATTGTTTCTTCTTGGTTACATGTGTGTGTAAGAAATGGAGCTCAATATTTGCTGGTCATCTTTTATGTGTGTGTGTGAGTGTGCGTGTGATAAAAATCACCCGGCAATCAATGTACTCGTCAACGATAAACATGCTGCTTTACCTGACTGGCAGAAAAACCCTCAGTCTCGGGCCAAAGCTGATACCTTCCCTCAAGAAGAAAGCGGCGGCACCAGCGGGAACTTTGCAATCTAAAGAACACTGGTTTAAAAATAAAGCACGTGAAAAACAAATACAGTACTTGCAGATCAGCACAAGATGCACGAATTTTTCAATTCCACTAAAACATTGTATGGGCCACCTACTCATGGCGCGCACCCCCCCCCCCCTCATCCGATGGTAACTCCTTAATTAAAGACAATTAAGGCATCCTTCAGCGCTGGAAAGAGCACTACCATTCACTGCTCAACCGAAACACCGATGTGGATGCCCTGACTACCCAGCAGGTGCCTCAGCATCCAGAGCTGACCCACCTCAGTTACCCTCTATCCCTGGATGAGGTAGCTACTGCCATCAAACAAATGAAAAATAACAAAGACTCAGGGCCTGATAGAATCCCAGCCGAGGTGTATAAAGCAGGAGGACCTCTGCTTACCAGCTGTCTCCACTCTCTCCTGGAGAATATATGGGAAAAGGAGGAAATCCCCCAAGCTCTTAAAGACGCCTCCATTGTCAATATTTGTAAGAACAAGGGAGACCGGTCAGACTGTGGCAACTTCCGTGGGATCTCGCTGCTGTCCATACCTGGCAAGATTATCGCCCAACTCCTCCTAAACAGACTTCTTCCTGAGGCAGAAAACTTCCTCCCAGAATCTCAATGTGGCTTTAGACCATCACGTGGCACCACTGACATGGTCTTTGCTGCCCGTCAGATGCAAGAAAAGTGCAGAGAACAGCGTCGTGACCTGTACTTGGCTTTCATCGACCTAACCAAGGCCTTCAACTTGGTCAGCAGGGAAGCCCTCTGGTGGACCCTCAGCCGTTTTGGCTGCTTACCAAAATTCATCGCCATTGTGAGGCAACTCCATGATGGCATGAACGGCAGTGTCCTGCACAATGGCACCCAGTCTGAGTTCTTCCCCCATCCAAATGGGGGTTAAACAAGGGTGTGTACTGGTACCAACTCTCTTTTCCATTTTCTTGGCTGCCTTCCTTACTCGTGCCAGTGCCAATTTAGCCACCTGGGTAAACATCGAGTATCGGATGAAGGGTCTTTTCAACATAAAACGACTCCAGGCAGGAACAAAAGTGTTGGCAGCTTCCATTACTGAACTATGCTGACGACCTCACCCTTGTTGCTCACACTGAACACCTACGCAGATGCGTATGCACACTTCGGCCTTGAGGTGAATGCACGTAAGACTCAGATTCTCTTTCAGCCTGCCCTTGGTTCAGTCACACCTCCACCATCCATCCAGCTTAACGGTACTACCCTCTCCAATGTTAACCCACTTTCAGTATTTCAGCTCCCACCTGTCCACCACCGAGGACATCGATGAAGAGATTCATCATCAGATCAGATGTGCATCTTAAGCCTTTGGCAGACTCCAAAACTGTGTCTTCAGCTGTAGGGAGCTGAAATTATCTACAAAGTTACACGTATATCGCTGCTGCCGGTGGGTGTGTGGGTGTGTTTACAGTGAGAGGACATCACTAAAGTTCACATTGTACTGTACTCTGTTTTAGTGACTGAAGGGCTATCGCACTGATTCCCCAACCCGACAATGGATGATTTGACATTGCATCAGACCAGTAATATGAGACCACTAATCCCCCACCTCACTTCCACATGCAAATGAGAGAAAAGTTTATATACAATGGGCAGACCTGATATTGCATCAGGTCAGGTCAGTAACCACACCTCCATCACAGTTACATATTGTATTCAGGATATCGGACAGTGTGCTCCAACTGTAGGCTCAAGATGACAGCAGTAATATACATTATTTTCTTTATTCATAACTAACATTATTTTCTTTATTCATAACTAGCAGAAACGCGCTCATTCGCTAGGCCACGGTAGGACGCCACCCCCCGGGAGGCTCCACATTGTCTCACTGTTCAGTCCCCATAACTTCTTCTTTCATCAATAGTTCATTAACGGTGTATGTAAGTTCTACCGTGTTTTTCACTACAACAGTACAGCAAAGTATATTTTTTTAGCATTAAACTGTTATTATTTTATTGTCTAATTATCACTACATATAACACCACCCATCATCACTACATATAACATCATCCATCATCACTACAAATAACAGCATCCATCATCACTACATATAACAGCATCCATCATCACTACATATAACAGCATCCATCATCACTACATATAACAGCATCCATCATCACTACATATAACAGCATCCATCATCACTACATATAACACCATCCATCATCACTACATATAACACCATCCATCATCACTACATATAACACCATCCATCATCACTACATATAACACCACCCATCATCACTACATATAACAGCATCCATCATCACTACATATAACAGCATCCATCATCACTACATATAACAGCATCCATCATCACTACATATAACACCATCCATCATCACTACATATAACACCATCCATCATCACTACATATAACACCATCCATCATCACTACATATAACACCATCCATCATCACTACAGATCGGTAAAGTAGTTTCCGAGGTTCTCGTGCGGACACACCACAAACAGACAGACTTCTTTGTTTTATATAGATAGATATATTGTACAAGTACCTGTACAGTAGTGTTTGCATAAATAAATACTGTACAGCTCTTGTGTTTGTCCGTGTGAGATGCATAACTTAGACTTGGGAAAGCTTTCCCCAGTAGAGGGAAGAACATTCTACTGTCGTGGTTGTGAAACAGCTTCATCTTGAGGTGTCTCACACGCCCGTATCATAAAGATTTTTAGTTTTTAAATTTATTTATTTTACCAAATGTTAAGATAAATTATTCTTGAATATTTTTGGAAAAAAAAAATTGTCACTTCTTTCTTGGAGTTGATTTTATAGACTCTGGTATCAACATTTTGTGTTGAATTATTTTCTTTAAGGCTTTCTTATTGAAAAAGTCTTGTAGAAAATTTAATCAGGGTCATTATGGTATGAAATTCATTTTTCTAACACAATTATAGCAGATGCTGTGAATAAAAGTTCTGCACTTTTTGCTAGCTATATACTCCTATATACTGTATATTTGCTACTTAGCTTTCATCTTTTTTAAGGATATCTTCAGGGCATAAGACCCACAAAGCTCCCATCCTGACAATGAGTGATCTGACATTGCATGAGACCATCCCACCCCACCACCTCCTGACATTGATCAAGTCAGGTAGGTAATAAGAGACCCACAATTCCCCTACCACACCTTCACAATTGCAATATTTCTTATTTTTTTTTTCATAAAAGAATTGAGTCCCCATCCTCATTATTGTGTTTTTGTGACTGAGGTGAACAGTGTAACTTGGAAAATGTCTGCTCACCATCTTTAGGGCCAAGACAAAGGCTACACCTACAGTCCAACTCTTCAAACTCCCCAAAGTCTCTGTGGGACTCAGGTTAATGTCTCATCTCCACCTTAAGAGTCTCCTTAGCCTCGAAGGGGACATGTGATGATGAACAGACTTGTTCTTAATGATAAGGTGAATGTTGTTTAATTGTGTCATAGTGCTGGTAGTATTCTAAGATTTATTTTTTCTTTTCTTTTCGGTGAGACATGTGGGTGTCCGACTGGCCAGGAACCTATCCCATTGAACCCCATGTTATAATAAACCTGATTTACAATATTTCGACCTGTGATGGGGCTTTGAGGAACCTAACCCCATCGTTGATAGAGGTTTACCAGTCCTGTGCCTTACTCATGGAAAAAGATTTATGCAGTACAGTATTTCTTCTAAACCATTATACCACTAGATGTTATCAATTCAACTATCTTATGCCAAAATACAGCAAAACCAAGTTATATAATTATACAGTATTGTTTATTTAAATTATCTAAACAATGTACAGGTTGTACCTCTCTAGTCCGGCAACCTCAAGACCTGACCGGTGCCGGACCATGGAAATTCACCCTTTTCCTGGATAGATAGTGACTTGTGCTTATGCTTGGAAGCACTAGCACCACTTTCTCTGCATCATGGTCTCTTTGAAGACATATTGAAGGGTTAAATGTCGTATAGTAGCTTCTCAAATTTCGCGAGTTTTTAATTCTTAACGTATTTTATTGGAACACACAAAAAAATAAATAAATAAAAATTTTGACGGCGGAAACTTGAATTTCGACGGGTTTGAACGGCCCGCCAACGTGCAGACGACGTGCATAATCGTGTAAACAGCGTCATTTCTCTTATGTACAAAAGATTCATTATTGTTTATTACTGAATGTCTTTTTTATTGAATTAATGTTTATGTGTGCAAAATGAGCAATACAATTCATTAATAATACGTAGAATATTAAAACACACGAGGAAATGACACAGCATTGTTTTCGTTGATTACAAAACCAGTGACTGACTGGTTCTACATATAAAACTGAAGAAAATAAGACCTTGGTTGTAGCTGTAGTAAAATTAATATGGTTGTTTTAAGTAATGTTATTTAATGTTAATAAATGGAACAATAGAAGTAGCTAACGATAATGGTAAAGAAAAAAGAGAGATCGCGTATGTAAGTGCGTGCGCACACGTGAAAACATATCGTCATTACTTTACATAAGAATATGAAAGCAACACTTATTTACTGTTCATATATATTTTAATTAATGTTTCTGAATTTGTTTTTATTGAATTAATGTTTGTGTGTGCAAAATTAACAATACAATTTATTAATAAACGTGGAATATTGAGGAGACGAGACGGCTGCCGGCATTGTTTATGTTAAAGCTTACAAAACCAGTGACTGATTGGTTCTACATATAAAACTGAAGAAAATAAGACCCTGATTGTAGCTGTAGTAAAATTAATGTAAAAAAATTAATATGGTTGTTTGAAGTACCTGTAATGTTATTTAATGTTAATAAATGGAACAATATAAGTAGCTAACCATTAATGGTAAAAAAAAAGTGAGACTGCGCGTATGTAAGTGCGCACATGTGAAAACATATCGTCATTACTCTACATAAGAATATGAAAGCAACACTTATTTACTGCTCATATATATTGAAGGGTTAAATGTTGTACTCTGGAGAGAGAGAGAGAGAGAGAGAGAGAGAGAGAGAGAGAGAGAGAGAGAGAGAGAGAGAGAGAGAGAGAGAGAGAGGAGAGAGAGAGAGAGAGAGAGAGAGAGAGAGAGAGAGAGAGAGAGAGAGAGAGAGAGAGAGAGAGAGAGAGAGAGAGAGAGAGAGAGAGAGAGAGAGAGAGAGAGAGAGAGAGAGAGAGAGAGAGAGAGAGAGAGAGAGAGAGAGAGAGAGAGAGAGAGAGAGAGGAGAGAGAGAGAGAGAGAGAGAGAGAGAGAGAGAGAGAGAGAGAGAGAGAGAGAGAGAGAGAGAGAGAGAGAGAGAGAGAGAGAGAGAGAGGGAGAGAGAGAGAGAGAGAGAGAGAGAGAGAGAGAGGGAGAGAGAGAGAGAGAGAGAGAGAGAGAGAGAGAGAGAGAGAGAGAGAGAGAGAGAGAGAGAGAGAGAGAGAGAGAGAGAGAGAGAGAGAGAGGAGAGAGAGAGAGAGAGAGAGAGAGAGAGAGAGAGAGAGAGAGAGAGAGAGAGAGAGAGAGAGAGAGAGAGAGAGAGAGAGAGAGAGAGAGAGAGAGAGAGAGAGAGAGAGAGAGAGAGAGAGAGAGAGAGAGAGAGAGAGAGAGAGAGAGAGAGAGAGAGAGAGAGAGAGAGAGAGAGAGAGAGAGAGAGAGAGAGAGAGAGAGAGAGAGAGAGAGAGAGAGAGAGAGAGAGAGAGAGAGAGAGAGAGAGAGAGAGAGAGAGAGAGAGAGAGAGAGAGAGAGAGAGAGAGAGAGAGAGAGAGAGAGAGAGAGAGAGAGAGAGAGAGAGAGAGAGAGAGAGAGAGAGAGAGAGAGAGAGAGAGAGAGAGAGAGAGAGAGAGAGAGAGAGAGAGAGAGAGAGAGAGAGAGAGAGAGAGAGAGAGAGAGAGAGAGAGAGAGAGAGAGAGAGAGAGAGAGAGAGAGAGAGAGAGAGAGAGAGAGAGAGAGAGAGAGAGAGAGAGAGAGAGAGAGAGAGAGAGAGAGAGAGAGAGAGAGAGAGAGAGAGAGAGAGAGAGAGAGAGAGAGAGAGAGAGAGAGAGAGAGAGAGAGAGAGAGAGAGAGAGAGAGAGAGAGAGAGAGAGAGAGAGAGAGAGAGAGAGAGAGAGAGAGAGAGAGAGAGAGAGAGAGAGAGAGAGAGAGAGAGAGAGAGAGAGAGAGAGAGAGAGAGAGAGAGAGAGAGAGAGAGAGAGAGAGAGAGAGAGAGAGAGAGAGAGAGAGAGAGAGAGAGAGAGCAGCCGAACTGCTGGATGTAAAGAAACCTTAATTTCCCGCGCTTTGTTGTTGTTTTTTACAGATTAGGCCACCCGGCATAGGTCACCAACTCAACATTGGAGCCTGAGGGGCAAAAATTTAATACTCCTTAATAATAATAATAATAATTCAGATAAGTAAGTTAAAAAAAAAAAAAACCTTCCTATCTACCTAGTGGACAAACTAAAATCGTTCCGGACCACGGGAGTTTCCGGACCACAGAATGCCGGACTAGAGAGATACAACCTGTACTGTATCTGATTTCTTGTCAAAAGGATTTTTTTTTTAATAATGAAGAATTAATTTATTTATGTATAACTTCAAGAACATTACATGTACAGGAGCAAATATACTGTAAATTCAGCACAAAGATCTGCAGTACATGTTCCTATCAGCCAATATATATTATCTTACTTCATCCCTACATTTACATGGGAGAGCGAGAGACAAACAAACAAACAGGAAAGAGACACCTACCTGTAATAAGGGCCACCAAGAGGTAGAAGAAAGAGTAGATGGCTGAGGTGATGTGACACAGAATGTAGGTGGGCTGTGAAGAGAGAGACAAGCCCAGCAGTTCCTTATCCCTGCCTCTCACAGCTTCCAGACCCCAGTGACTATTCCACTCTGCCAGACGACCCAAGACCTTGATTGCTTCAATGCTGTCTGAAGGTTTCTGTAAAGACATTGTCATCATCATCATATTACATGCAGTGATGTTGACATATAGGGCACATCAGGCAAGAAAGAGCCAAGTGACAAAGGAAAATGCAATTAAAAGTTTAAAGGAAATTTTTAAAGTTATATTGGTATAAAAAAACACATATCTCAAGCCATTTCGTCACTTGTCTCGTTCTCCCTCGCAGTGCCTCGTGTACACTGGTGCAATACTGTTGTAGAGAGGCAACAACTTTTAATCAGCCTTGTTAGCCTCTTCCCACTATGGTACTATACAGGGAGCTGGACTCATTACACTCTCTCTCTCTCTGTATGTTATGTCCATATTCATTCCTTAGAGGTAAACTGTAATAAAGATAAGCACACGAGTACAGTAGTCCCTCGACAACCGCTGGAGTTAAGTTCCTGGAAAAATCCTGTGGCTGGTAAATCCACGGCTGGTAAGACTAAAATAGGGGATTAGGTTCCATGGCCGCAGATAACACTCGTCAAAGCTTAACTAAGTTGCCCGTTCTTTCTCAAAACAATACCTGCATTGTACATTTCATTGAATTTGAGTCAAATACATATAAAATAGCTTAATATAATTTAATAGTACTATAAATTTAATAGAAAAGGGGTTATTTACCTTCATGGTGGATGAGGATGATGTGGAGGGAGAGGTGGTTGTTATAATGAAGAGGGGGACACCAGCCACACCAGCCCTTATCGTAGCCTCACTTTTCTTAACCGTATGACTTGAGGATTTGTTTACCCCTATGGCGCATGTCACTGGCGCAATGCTTTCGCCACGCGCTAGTCTATCGAGGCCTTCAACTTTCTTTTCTAGAGCCATTACGTTCCTTGTCCTCTTCACTTTCTTCTCGTCTTTATAACTAACATTCAATGCAAGCTTAGGGGCCACAGTCAAAGGAAATATCAATGTTATTACTGTAGAAAACACGTAATAAATATTCAGTCTATGGAGCATAAAATATGTCGGCATGGTGTAATGGCATAGAGTAAAAGCCTTGGATACATGAAATCCATGGTTGGCGACGGACTACTGTACTGTACTGTACACTGCCTCTTATCCGGACTAATTGGGGGGCAGGCCTGTTCAGCTTGGCCAAAATTCTGGGTTGGTCAGAGGTCCATATTGTCCATATTACAGGGTGGAAAAATTCCAGGGGGGAGGAGGGTGAATTTTCAACTCAAGCTGCCTAGCCTAGACTTAACACTCACAGAGTTTTTATGTGTCATTTAAAATGTGTTTTTTTAGCTGCTTGGGGTTTTAGTGATCCTCAGTAGTGCTGTTTTGCCTTTACAGGAATACAGGCGTAACCTAATAACCAACACATATAGGGCCCGTGAAAAGTCATTGGTTAATGAATCAACAGTTATCGAAGCAATTAATCCCATAAGAATATAACAAATGCAGGATGTTAGGGACCAGCCCCCAACTCCCATCTACCCTTGATATATCTCTGTACTGCACACTATCAAGCAAGAATATAAAGCAGACACATAAAACAAGCAATAATAAGCCTTAAATAAGGAATGTGTAAAGCATAAATTGAGACAGTTATTTACTTGTGTTGAGGATGGTAGAGACGGCCTAGGGTGGTACGTTCAAGTCTCTATCACTCTTTGCTGGTCCATCACCACTCTTATTAAGCCTTATTACATCACATTGTGAGGAACTATCATTGGGACATTTAAGAATGACTGCATAACACATTAACACACAAAGTCGGAAATGACGGAAAAACACGAAGTCAGAGAGCAGAGGGGTGGGAATGAGTCAGAGGCAGCACACAAGGCCCTCTCGTGGCAAAAATTAGCACCACGCCACAGCCCACCAAATTCAAAACAGCTCTACTGCTCCTCTCCCGATCGTCAGACCTCCAGGGTACCAACAAAACTTGCGGGGCATTTCCCCCATATGTTATCGTCGGTTATTGGGGCGTCGGTTTTCGGGATATACCTGTACCTCAATATTTGCAAACCCGCTTATCTGCAATTGATATTTTAACATCCCCCCATTTGATATTCACAAAGCATACCCGGCTTATTAACAAATGAAAAATTATGATACCCTACAGTAATATTTCAAATTGGGTGGGCTAGCCGCAGCTCATATGCTGACATGAGGCCAGCTTTACACACAAGGTTTTTAATTCACACGTGTTGCGAGTGTTTGGACTCGTAAATTTAGAAAACAGTGTAGATTCTTTCTTTTTTTTTCCCCCTAGAGCTCTTAATATGCAAGCGGGTTAACACTAACCGGGGTACAGTATTACTTTACTACAATATACAGGCAACACTAGAAGCCTTGGGTAATGAGAAGTATATATTGAATATGTGAAGAAGCTTGCCAGCTGGGAACACACCCCCTCCCCCCCTCCTATTTACATTAATTCCTAAGGGGAAATTGCCCCAATATTCAGTTCATTAATCAAAATGACTTTTAAGAATGTATTCCTTGCAATAACTGGGTATTCCTGTATTTGTTTTAGAGGCCATAATAATACAGCAGGGTAGCACACAAAACCCCCCCTAAGCCAGAGCTCGTCCGACTTAAGGGGGTTTCCGACTTACAGAAGTCCTACTTAGAGGGGTACCAGATGAGCTTTGCATAAAGTGAAGAATAAGAAACAATGATAAATATAATACTGTACTGAAGCTACAGTGGTAATACACACTGACTCTCATTCCATTATAGGAGATACTCTTTCTACAAAAAAATAAATACAAATCCTACACTCAACCCTTGATGAGCACTTACGTTATCCTAAATTCCCGCTGCTATACTTTAACTGGTGCGAACGCTGCCTCTGTCAGCTGATGCTACACTCGTGCTCGCTTGTGAGTTGTTGGTAATATCCACACCTCCACACTTTTGTTCACTTGGAAATTCCACATTGTCTCTAACATCTCTACAGTACAGTATAATAGTGCCACAAGGAGAGCTCAATAGTGTTTACATTATCCACTCTGTATCAGTATTTATCTGGCTAAATAAATTGTTTCAATATCACTTTCCTTTAGTGTAGAGTTGTGAGCCATAGTTTCTGGCCACCCTGGTAGGAGTAGTCTAAGTCAAGGGGTGTTTCTGGAAGACGGTTCACCGTGTTGAACATGTGGCAACGCATGCACTAACAGACAAGAGTACAGAGTTTGAGAAGCTCAAATACCTATGATGACTTGGTTGAGTGATATGTCACCATTGCTTTTTCACCAACAGATCATTCAGTTAAACATAAACACAAACACCAATATCTACTGCTATAATGAACAGTATACAAATCTTTATTCATTGTAAATATCCTAGATATGACCTCCATGAGACTGGAAAGTTGGGAATACAGTACAGAATGCCCTTAAATTCACAACCTTGATTATTCGCGGATGACACCCTGGATGTACCCAAGAATGTCTAAGGGTAGTTTGGTTGCTGGCATTTGTGTGGTTGGGACAGGGAGCCATTCGTTCTAGAGACAGTAATTTATTTTACCTGTATTGTATGTGAGTGTGAGTGTGTGTGTGTGTGTGTGTGTGTGTGTGTGTGTGTGTGTGTGTGTGTGTGTGTGTAGATACACATACACAAAACACATACAAATAAATATTAATGGGAAAATCCTCACAAATAATCAGAAACAAGACAACAAAAATGTATTAAAATGTGAGTCTACCCTCAAGTCAACTCCGTGCTTTGTAATGAAAGTTATAACAAAGAACGGAGTTGACTTGAGGGTAGACCCTAACATTTTTAATACATTTTGTGTCTCGTTTGTGATTATTTGTGAGAGGATTTTCCCATTATTATTTATTTGTATGTTTTTTCGTAAGTGTCTATTTACACATACCGTATATACTCGTGTATAGTTCGAGTTTTTACGACCAAATTTTTAGGCAAAAAATTGGGGGTCGTCCTATACATGCGTAATAGTTTTGTTAGGTTGAACCCGTGCATGATGGGAAGGGCGAGGAGCAACTTTTAGCTTCAGACATGAAAAATATTTACCATTTACTGCCAGTAAACAATGGAAATGTAAAATATGTACCAATTAGGAATGAAAAGTTGTGCAGTTCCTTCAGCAGATGAAGCTCACCAACTTAAAATAGGCTAAATTACCTTACAACGTGCTTTCAGTAGTCTATGTTGAAGTTCTTAGCACAGGCTAACTTATCATATCATATACGGTATCACAGTTCTCGTTGATCTACAAAAAATACCGGTATTAAAAACCTTTTCGATATTTCACACTTAATATAATACCCGGTAATCTACTTCAACCTCCTATTGTTTACAACGACGCATCACGCACCACCAGCTGTATCAGCTAGACGGTACACGTGTTTTTCGAATCGTTTTCAGTTAAAAAACTGTTACATCACATGTATATTTTACCTTAACTGTGCCTGAATGAATATATTCTCGGAAATAAATAGTAGTTTTGCTGAAACGTGATGTATTTTAATGTAAAATAGGATAAAATACATGACGAAAACAAAAGATTTTACCTAACCTTCCGATGTTCAAGAGAAGTTACTCGTTTTTTTAATAGTTTTTGGTTAAAATATTGTTATATTACAATGGTATTCTATTCATACTGTGCTTGATATAATGCATTCACGGAAATGTAATATTTTTGCTGAAATGACGTACGTATTACAGTGGAAAGTGGGATAAAATCGTGACGAAAACAATGACTTTCGCTTTCTTTCGTTCAAAAGATGTTACCGTAATCGCTTTTCGAATGGTTTAGTTAAAAAACTGTTGTATTACAATAATATTCCCTCCTAATTGACTTGAATAAATACTTGAATGGAAATATACAATATTTTTGTTGAAACTACCCGCGTTTCAGTGTAAAGTGTCGTAATAATAAATGGTAAACAATTTGCCTTCAGCACTCGTGTTTCATGCACGGCGAGCCTCAGTTTATAGGACGTAGAGCGTTTTTACTGAAGGTTTTGTTGTTCCATTACCCCCAAAAACGTGGGTCGAACTATAAATGAGGAATATCGTAAATTAACGATTTCTTGGTCAAAAAATCAGGGTCGACCTATAAACGAGGGGGGGTTATAGACGAGTATATACGGTATATACAATACAGGTAAAAGAAATAATTATCCTAAGGGCAAACACAAAGGAAATATACATTTCCTTGCACACAAGTAAAAATTTACCCCCACCACCACCAGTCAGCAAATGTTATTCGTGGATTTGGCTATTCGCAGCCATTTTGAGAACCTAACCCCCGCGAATTTTAAGGGCATGCTGTATTGAGCATTTGGCTCATTCGAAGCAGCTTCTTGGTGTCTGGCAAAACACACATTGGACACAATCTGCCAGTAATACACAGTACAGTATACCAACTGGTGCTAGCAGAGGCAACAACTAGTGGAGATCTGGTGTGAGGAGTGTGCTGTATCAGGGCTTCTTGGATTATTATTCCCTGAGGAAGTACTAATGCATGCAACAGAAACAGTACAGACTACAGTGTGTATCTTTTCTTGGCACCCCGCACACCCCACCACATGGAGGGCCAGAGAACAGCTCACCACCGCATATTCTATGCACTCATCACCACATAGAAGGTAGAGGTGTAGGAGGGTACTTCTTAAAATGACCTACAGAGAATTGCACCATCCATAATGTTGGTCAAATACACATTCAAATCACCAGTGTTCAATAGTACTGAATATGGTAAAATAGACTACAGTACTGTCTACATATTGGCCACAAGGAGACATCATAAAGATACATAGCTAACCAAGAATCAGAATGGGCATCTGTGGAAATAAATCACCTTAAAGAAACTGAGCTACAGCAATATTAAACAAGTGTTTCTAATTTGAAGGAAATCAGATAAGACTTCACTCACATCACCCAAAAATTAGGAGAAACAGATATTGGAAAATATTGTACTTAAAACTCACTGGTACTGTTGTGATGGTGACAGTGTAAGAACCCACCTGTGATGAATCTTGCTGATGCAGCAGTGTTTCAACTTCAGCCACAGGTATATATCTCAATGGAGAGTCACCACACTGATATAGCCCAGTTTGACGGTGCAACGCAGGAAGCAGGACATCCTCCAGTTTACCCATGAGTGGTTGAACGGAGGCCATCTCTTGTACTGACAGGCAATTACTCTGAGGAAGGTTATGACATATTAATAAACTGCACTCTATTATAATTTTTAGCAAAAATATGTCACACACAATGTCATGCCAGAGAAAGTGAGAGAGAGAGAGACCACAGTAACGTATGAAGATAACAAGGTGGATACAGTAAAAACTTTCCTATGTCACAGTTAAGGCCAAAAGTAAGTTGACAGACTGACCTTAATGAAGAAAGACACAGCTGGAGCACCTGCTAGATGTGACTGACCCATTATAAGGTACAGTAATTCAAAAAGGAGAAGCCATATAGAGTGAGGCCACAGTCAATGGGTAAAGAAGGAAGAAGGGGACAGTGTACGAGAAAGAGCCTCTTTTGAACAAACTGCTACATGAATCAGATAAAGTGAGGTGACATTACCCTGACTAGCATTTTGACTTCTGCCTGCTTTTAACAATTAGCTTGGCATGATCATCACATAGGAGTCCCAAGCCAGCCTAGTAATTTGAGGTAAGAGTGATTGCATATTCTAAAATATCAAACAAGTCCAGTGCTGTAAGTGAGAGATTGTTGATCATCAGAATTATTCACACGATTATTAGTTACCCCTTCACACACTTTTGTTCTCTCACATGCAATATATTTCCAACAATAAATATTTGAGTAGCTACCTGGTAAAAAATGAAGGTCAGTAATCTGGGTGACTACAAATAACATAGGCAATAAACATAAAATACTATTACATAAGAGTAAGATATAAATAAGTCAGCACACTGGAGAATAAAAGGTATGATTTTTCGAAAGGCTTCAACCTTATAGACCACTCAATTATCGTCAGCCAGAGACTCTTCGAGTTGGGACTGCGACCCGCACTTCTCCGCTGGTTCTGCAGTTTCCTTAGTGACCGATCACAGAGAGTTGGTGGCCCCTCTGAGAAGCTTAGCGAGTGTAGCAGAACAACATGTGGTGAACCTCAGGGTACTCTGTGTGGACCCATTGCCTTCCTGACCATGAACAATGGTACTGCGAGACTCCCACAGACGCCTCAAGTGCGTCGACGATCATACCATCCACGAGGCATGCCCACTCGAAGAAGTAAGCACCACCAGCACCCTACAAATCCTGCAGGATCTCCAGGCCTGGGCCTCAGAAAGCAACATGGTCATCAACATATGAAAGTGCCAAGTTATGCACATACTGTATTTACCAGCAAGAAACTCCCTAATCTACCTGGAACTAACGATAGCCAATACCAACATCCCGGTAGTGAATATTTGTAAACTGTTGGGAGTCACCATCACCACGACCTCTCCTAACAAGACCATGTCAATAGTATCCCCACAAGAAGAGCCAAGCTTCTTTACATCCTCTACACCCTCAAAAAACTTAATGCGGCGCCACAAAAACTGATCAATGAATATGTCACATACGTCCGACCCATCTTGGAATACTGCTGCCCACTCTTCCACACCGGGCTCACACTACAGCAGGCGAAGCAGATAGAAGGGAATCAGCGTCGGGTAATGAAAATAGCAGTGGGTTGGGTCACTAGGTATCAAAATGTCTTTGACATGTTCAACCTGACTACATTGAGACAAAGGTGCGAGGACATGTGCCTGAAGTATGGTCGTGGTCTACTGGAAGAGCCACGACATCACGACCAGAGCCGCCCCGAGGGGGGAGTCGCCTGCCCAGGCCTCGCGCTTCCAGGGGCCTCACTCTCTCCTGATTAGTAATTATACAGTACAGGTCAAATGCAACACATAAACTAGTAAAAGAAGGCTGTGCTGATTGGAAGCATTTTAGTGAAAGACTAAATCTCTTGGTTCATGATATAAAAACTTTTTAAACCTTAACCAAATGGATGGAAGTGAAAAGAAGGTTGTGTTCAATGAATACCATATACACGAATGTTACAAGACTTGAATAAAGAAAAGGAAAAAAAGGCAATCAGTTCTAACATGTATTATAGCAGCTGTGCAGTAACTAGATGAGCACAACTCTACTTTGAACAAGTCATTGTGTTGGAAATTCTCACGACAATGACGAAGCCGAATTGTTTCCAGAGCTTCGAGACCAGTAAGTCCGCGCTTAACGTCGTCCCGCTTAACGTTGTTTCGGTGCTACGTCGCTAAACTGTAGAGACCAAAAATTCTTTCAACATTCCGGTGATCCGATACTACGTCGTTTTGCGTCATCACGGACTACTTTCTACGGCGCATCACCTGCTCTTGTCTGGCTGCGCTACGTTCTCTCGGCTCAGCGCGCTGCCCTCACTCGCGGAACGTCACAGCGTCCCCAAACGACACCAAGCCAGTCTTTGTTACGACTTAGTAATAAATAATAATAATAATAATAATAATAATAATAATTTACGGTTTATTGAAAAGTACTGCAGCCCGAAGGCTGAAAATATACATTGGACATAAATGACTTAGTACATACATTGGTGGTTTAACAACAGCCTTCATTAGAGAAAGGTAAAGGAACATAAGATGAACATACAGGTTAATGTAGGTATTGAACAGCAAACATGTAGTGTAGTAACCCCCTCCCAGATGGTGTTATGAAGGACCTGACGTGGTGTAGTAGTTCCCTCCCAGATGGTGTTGTGAGGGACCTCGCATGGTGTAGTAACTCACTCACAGATGGTGTTATGAGGGACCTGACGTGGTGTAGTAATTCCCTCACAGATGGTGTTATGAGGGACCTCGCGTGGTGTAGTAACTCCCTCACAGATGGTGTTATGAGGGACCTGACGTGGTGTAGAAATTCCCTCACAGATGGTGTTACGAGAGGCATCACATGGTGTAGTAATTCCCTCACAGACGGTGTTATGAGGGGCCTCACATGGTGTAGTAATTCCCTCACAGATGGTGTTATGAGGGGCATCACATGGTGTAGTAATTCCCTCACAGATGGTCTTATGAGGGGCCTGGCATGGTGTAGAAATTCCCTCACAGATGGTGTTATGAGGGGCATCACATGGTGTAGTAATTCCCTCACAGATGGTGTTATGAGGGGCATCACATGGTGTAGTAATTCCCTCACAGATGGTGTTATGAGGGACCTCTGTTCAACATTGGTTCCATTCCTTTCCTAAATGAAATTGTAACTTCTGGCGAGAACTTGTTGATATTCCGGTGGGGAGGAGGGTTCAGGGGAGGAAGTTGGTATGGGTCAACTTAAAAGTTGACCTGGCTGCTCCCAGAGGAGTGCCAGGTACGTCTTGACCCTTCGGTGTGCTTTAGTGATTTTGCTCTAAAACTGTACTCTAGCCATTTAAAATGGCTTCTAAGCACCCATCAAGTGCTAGTGATGCTAGTGTAGTGAAGAGGCAACATAAAAACATTACCCTGGCTACGAAAATGGATGTATTAGCCCGTTTTGAAAAAGGGGAACGTGCTGTGGACATACCCGCTGTGCTAGGTCTAACCCCCACAAATGTGCATACTATCCGGACCAACGCTGACAAGATTAAGGTTAGTGCTGGAATAAATGCTGGCTATGTGGATGGAGGACCAGAATCAACGCAATGTGCCTGTAAGCCTTATGGTTATCCAGCATAAGGCCAGATCCTTGTTTGACAACTTAAAGGCAGACGAGGATGAAGGATCGAAGGAAGAGACCTTTATAGCCAGCTGAGGATGGTGTCGTTATAACTTCCACAACATTAAGATGACTGGTGAAGCTGCCAGTTTAGATACAGATGCTGCCAAGACATTCCCGCCAGAATTCAAAGGGATTATCCAGGAAGGAGGCTACTCATCAAAGCAAGTCTTCAATGTGGATGAGACTGGTCTCTTTTGGAAGAGGATGCCTGAGAGGACTATATCTCCAAGGAGGAGAAAAGAGCGCCAGGTTTTAAAGCGGCAAAAGACAGCTTGACGCTGCTGCTTGGCATGAACGCTGCCGGTGAAGCTGAATCCTATGCTGATTTGTCGTGCTGCCAACCCACGGGCCCTGAAAGGTTACTCTAAGGATCACCTTCCAGTGAACTACGAGGCAAACAAGAAGGCATGAATAACTAGCGCCATATTTAGCCAGCGGTTAAACGTGTACGCCATCCGTGCACTGAAGGAATACTGTGCCAAGGAGAACCTTGACTTCAAAATTCTTCTGATCGTTGACAATGCTTCAGCTCATCCTCCCAATCTGGACGACTTGCATGACAGTGTAAAAGTTGTATTCCTGCCTCCCAACACGACAGCACTGATGCAGCCTATGGACCAAGGCGTCATCGCCGCATTCAAGGCGTATTATTTACACCGTACCATGGCCCAGCTGCTCAAGGCTACAGACGGAGAAAATAAACCAACGATCCGAGAATATTGGTGTGGCTTCAACATTCATCATGTGGCTTCAGCATTGGCAAGGCATGGGAAGAGGTTTCAGAAAGTTGCCTGAAAGATGTGTGGCATAAACTGTGGCCCGAGTGCGTCAAAAGTTTTACGGGATTCACGGACTTAGTCCAAGCAGTGAATGGAAATATCCTCAGCTTGGCTAGACAGGCAGGCTTTGATGAGCTGGAATCAGAGGATATTGAGGACGTCTGGCAGCCCATACAGAAGAGCTCACCAATGAAGATCTGCAACTGCTAACAGAACACAGTCCTGCTGAAGACGACGACGACGAAAAACCTCAACTAACGCTAACTACCAAGAGGATGGCAGAAGCGTTCAACATGATCCAGCAAGGTATGCAAATCCTTATAGATGACGACCCAAACAGAGAACGTAGCTCAAAGGTTCAACGCAGCAGTGATGACAGTCTTGGTTGTTACACAGAAATAAGAAGAAGAAGAGTAGCACCAAGCAGTCAATGCTGGATTCATTTTTCTGTCGCAGGACAACAGAAGCAGCTTCTTCACAAGGAGGAGCAAGCAGCGGCGGAGGAACCCCAATCAGAGCAGGAGGAGGAGGAGGAGCCAGCGACAGTCTCAGTGACTCACCACCCTCCTCCTCTGCTCCCACCATCCGCCTACTCCGCTCCCACCATCCGCCTACTCCGCTCCCACCATCCACCTACTCCG